ACAAAGACAAAAATCATTTCATCTGTACTTGGTCTCATACTTCTCGAATATGTCAGACATCACTTTTCCATTAGCAAAATCCCAACAATTAAAAATGATAATAAGATAAAATACCCGATTGTTTTTTTTTTTGCCAGATATAGTAACTAAAACCATTTGCTCAAATAGGCAAAAAACATTAATCCGTCAAGTCCAGCTCCAAACCCATTCTTTGGTATATAAATACATTTTATATCATTCGCTTCCCAACCGAAGAACACATCTTATAACTCATAACCCTGAACACATCGATGTGTTCAACCAAGTTTTGGAATAATGTTCTTAAAAACATTAAGTCCATATAGGGTATACTCTTCTAGTCCATATAAAAGAAAAATATATATTTGTTGTTTTCAATAGGGTACTCTCTTGAAATATCAAATAGCATACGGAAAATACATATTCTCTTGTGGGACCTATTGCATGTTCAAGCCTTCTTAATAACATTTAAAGGGTGCATTAACGAGTGAATGTTTTAGAGTAAAAAAGAAGAATTGAGAAGAAATTGAAATAATGTAGTAAGTAGAGAATTAGAGTAATTGAAAACAATGGTAGATGGTAAAATTTGTCGTCTTCTTCAAATTAATGTAGTCCGCAAAACTTAAGAGAAAGGTAACAAACTAAATAATCTGATATTTTTCTTACAGCAAATATATTTTTCATAAAGATTTAGAGTAGTAGTTTTTTTTTAATACCCATTTAAAAAGAAAGAAAGAAAAACTGCATATAGGTATATTTCTTTTCAACGGCCAAAAAGAAGCATTTCCCATTTTTAGCCTAAAAATACTAGAATGAAAACGAGTAATTGAGAGATTTGCACAGTTTGGAGTAAAAAGATTATGACGGGGCGGTAATGCGTGTATAGTGTCGTGTTTACACGCATCCGATAAAGCACTTAGCAAAACAATTTCAACGACTAATTAAAGCTCCGCGTGATCGAATGAATATTTTCCTTAAAACATTTAATTTGGATGCAAATGATCAATGTTTATAGAGAAAGAAAAGAAAAATGCGTCTTCTCTTCTTTTCTTTAATTTACTTGTTAAGTGGAAAAGATTCCAAATGTGTTCAACAAAGAGATGAGATGAAGCAAAACAATTTCAACGACTAATTAAAGCTCCGTGTGAGCGAATGAATATTTTCCTTAAAACATTTAATTTGGGTGCAAATGATCAATGTTTATAGAGAAAGAAGAGAAAAATGCGTCTTCTCTTCTTTTCTTCTACTTGTTAAGTGGAAAAGATTCCAAATGTGTTCAACAGAGAGATGAAGTGTTTCCACTAATTTTTTTTTTTACTTCTAAAGATGTATTTGAGTCACGCCCTCAGAGATTTTCTTATTTACATCAAACTACTTTATTTATGATCATATTGGCTAAGCATGAAAAAATAAGAGTCTAGTACATCGGTGATGCCGTTTGGAAATGGAAGAAAAGAATGAACGAAAAAGAAGAAAAAAATAACTCATTTACACGAATTTGTGTTGTTGCGATTTAAGCATGCAAATGTTTAAAAAAGATGGCCGCAGGTGAGTGAAAAAAAAAAAAAAAGGTGTATCCGATCGATCGACCGACCGGTTAACATAAAATAAATTGGTCACATTGCTAATACCCGGTCACAATAACTAGGCGATTAAGTCGATATACTGTATATATAAGCTGATACAATGACAAAAGAGCACATCACAATTACAAATATTTAATTCGGCTGATTTCTTCTTCCAAATTAATTTACTTTGTTATCTACTGTATGAATATTATTAACCTACGGGAAAATTGTAAATTTAGGACACATTTTGCATACAATTATCCTCATAAGATTTTTTGGACTTTTATCACTTTTAGACTTAAGTACCCTTTAATTAATGTTAAAATTAATTTAAGAAATTTGAATTTAATGTTTCGTTTTTTTAAAAAAAATCGAAATACCATAAATGAAAATAAATTAATTACCGAAAATCAATTATGGAAAGTTTTAAATTTTTAAAAATTATTTTCCACAACATGTAGAAGACGTATTCTACATTCTACGATTTTTTAGAATAGATTTTCTACATATTCCTCTACAATCTACGAAACCTAGAATTGGTGTTCTACATATTCTTCTTCATTCTGTTAGTCATATAGAATATGAATTCTACAAACTCTTTAGAGTTCTACAACTACTAGAATACATGTTCTATATTTTTTACTATATTCTACATTTTAATAGAATGTGAATTCTAGTAATTCTTCTTTGTTCTATGTAATATAGAATATGTATTCTAGCAAATCGTTATAGAATCTGAGAAAATTTAGGATTCATGTGCTTATCCATCCAACTGAATATTTTCCAAATATTCACTTTCCTTTTTTTAAATTTTTTTTTTTATATTTTTCTAATGTTGAGATTAAGTATTAAAACCGTAGTAATAAAATCGAATAACGTGCTGAGCAACAATGGGTTTTTATGGCTTTCTATTAACTCAAACGTCCGAGTTCGAGACCTATCGTCTTTTTTTTTTTTTGCGCTTTTTCTGCACTTACTTTATTTGCTCGCCAAATTGGATTGTTTTCACGAAAATTGGCATAATTTTTGATCGCACCGTTAGAATTACTTCAAACCACTTTCAAATGAAAGCTAGTCCATTTATGTATCTGGTGTCTAAATTTGAGATTGATCCATCGGTGGAAACTCATTCAAAGAGAGCCAAACTTCTGATGTGTGACATGTGTCTTCATAAAACAAAGTAGTTGGAATATTTTTTGATGTTTCTTTTGTTGTTGTGGAGACGAGAATTTTTCTTTATCTTTTGTTGGTTTTATTTTATTTTTTAATTGTTTTATATTTAAGGTGAATATTAATTTTTTTAAAAAAAAAATACTAGAGTGAAATTTTAAAGGTAATTTTGAATTTTAATAAAAGTAAATATTAGAGGGACAATGTCTAAGATAATAAATCTTAAAAGGACAAATGGTTTGGAAAATTGTCCTAAATTTTTAATTATCTCTTAACCTAAAGCTGTCTATTTATCTACTATCTAAAAGTTAATCAATTCTCTCTCTCCAACCATGTCAGCTCTGGAGAGAATTATTCTGACATGTCAAATTTTTCAAAAAAAAAAAAAAAAAATTTCTATCGTAAGCTATTTGCTTGGAGCTGCTTGCTTTTCAATGTTTCGTGATTAGGCTTTTAACCTCCTCCTTCTAGAAACGTTTTTCTGATTATTCAATATTGATTCAAAGAAGAAGAAAAAAAATCCACTGCCATCCTCTAAACTCCGCAAACAGAAGAAGGTCCTTTCCCCAAAAATATTGGTTCTGAGATTTTTGCTTTTTTAGGTTGTATCCAAAAATCCCAAACACAATGTCCATGTATCATCAATCTCTCTGGCAAGTAATTCTCAAATTTAACCCTTTATCATGTCTCATTCAATCTCAATCTCTTTGGTTTTGTTTTGGGTGGTGCAATGTTGTTTATTGGTATTGTTTTGGAACATAATTTTTTTTCTAACTATCAGGATTGTTGTTCTCTGCAGAGGTGTGTATATTTTAAATCTTAAAAGGATTTTTCTTTATGGCTGAGAGACTTTCTTCGAAAAGTTTTAAATGTTTTTGTATAGGTGGCTTGGGTGTCCAATATGGTAAATCTGACTTGACAATCCCCAATTATAGTTCGTCCAACAAGTGAGACAGTGATATACCCTCACTATAGTAAGTGGATAAGGGTGCACCGTGACTTGCCTTGAAGCTTAATCACTGATGCAGTGTTGTTAGATGGGAGTTCAGAAACCCTACCCCATATATCAGGTATTCTATTATCATATACACTTTGATGCATTTTCTGTTTGCTTTTCTCTGAGCTACTTATTGTTTTTTTTTCTGTAAATATTAGGCTTACTACCAAGTAAAAACCTTGACACTGAGTGTTCAGAGCCCATTGCCTAATCTATTTATTTGCACAAGTCGTGAATTCTTTTGCCCGGAAAGGCACACTGCTTTTGCCACGAAAGAAGAAGTAAATAATGAGGTATGTGAAATTAATCTTTTACATGTGATCTAATCTCTCCCCTTTTTTAGGGGAAATGAGTGTTACATTTAGAAGCCCAACATCATTTTGGAATATCTTGCCGTCGTATTATTTATGAACACCTAGTTAGCTTCAGCATGAGAATGTATTAGAAAAAAAGAAGCAATTAGACAAAAATATCTATCGTTGACAGATATTCAACTCTATACTCATGCTACCAACGAGTGTATAATGATTTGATCTGAAGTGATTGATGGTTTGAACTTTGAAATTTGGGACACAAGTCTTTAAGGTATTCAAACACTTAGCGCAATAGCATAGATTATTATACATCAAAAGAAGAAAGAGGATACCAAATTAAACAGAGTCTGGAAATATGTCAACTAAACGAGGATAAGGATGATTGAAAAATGAGAGAACACACAAGCAGGAAATGAGAACCAAGATGGGGTTGCTCAAGGAATAAGGGTTAATCAAGGAGTGTCTAATGCACATGGAAATCAAACGGGATTAACCCACCACATGTAGAGAATAACAACGCTGAGATTAAGGCAAATCTCATCTTCATAGTTAAAGAGAAAAATATTTCATGAGCTTGCATATGGAGGATCATTTAGATCATTTGGACCACTTTGATCGTGTTTGTGAGTTCGTGAAATCAATTGGGTATCCGAGAAAAGATTCAAACTTAGGCTATTCTTTTTCAACTTAAGTCATCTAAGCTTCAAACGCAGACATTGGCGCAAGAGAAAAACAGAGGATTTTGACATCTTCTCGTTATATTTATTTGTATTTTGGCATAAAATTGAAGTAGAGAGAATCCTAAATTGAAATCGGTTGTCTACTCGGTGTAC